TGCAATATCTCTTTACTAAATAATATGAATAGTAACATTTTCAAATAATGCTAATTAATTGTAATTAAGATATTGAGTTTTTAAAACTGAACTAAATACTTGCAACAATAATGGTTAAATTTAAGAGGTAAAAATTCAGTTATTAACTAATTGAAATAAAATAAATGCCATGCAATTCTATAAACTAGACTAATAAATGATAACAATTTCAAATAATAGATAAACAGTATAAAAATTGATCAAGGAAAAAATATTCAGCAAAATATAGAGATAATATTTTAGTTAATTTTTATCATAAAATGAAATAATGTAAGAGCTCAGTAGAAAAATGATAAAATAAATATGAATCAATTCAATTAGTTTGCAATATATTATTTTATGTAAATGCATAATGTATCAATCAAATAAATATAATATATATTAACAAATCAACGATTAATATCAATTATAATTGTATTATCCAAAATGAAACTGATTTCCAACAATACCCATTGACAATTGATCATTAATATCCTAACCAATCATTCTTTAGCATGATTATATTCAAATATTAATTATATACGTTAACAATTGATTGCAAATTATTTCAATTGGCAATCAATTATCAACACTCCAATCGATTAACATTGATCATAATTACAAACGATTGCAAACTATTTTTGTTGAAAATCAATTGCCAACCATGTATATTGACAATTAAGCATCAACAATTCACTGATTAGCAATAATTGTGATTGCAATCGATTACAATCAATTCTCGCTAGTAATCGATTAGCTACCTTATACATTAACAATCAATTATCAATACCTCCACCAATTGGCATCAATTGTGATTGCAATCAATTGCGAATGGAACTCGTTGATAATCAATTGCTGACAATTTCCATTGGCAATTGATCATCAACACACTATTATTTTCTATCACTAGTGGTTGCAATTGATTGCTAATAATGTTCTTTGATGATTTTTGAATGCAATCGATTGTTAGCAATTATAATCGATTTTAATCGCTGACAATCAATTGTAATCTCTATCGATGGTAAACAATGAGGATGTTGATAATTGATTGCTAATATGCATGATTATAAATCGATTGCCAATGGATATAGAAATTTTCTGATATTTAGAATATTTAAATATTCCTTTTATTATTTCATTATTTAAGTTTTAAAGTTTTATTTTAGTTTTGTTATAATCTTTCACATATTTGTGATGTTATATTTATAATCTCTTACACGTTATAATGTTATATTGATGATCTCTTATATGTTTGTAATGTTATATTTATAGTTTAACCTCTTACACATTGTAATATCATATTGTTGAAATGATTTAATAAATTAAATTTATAATATTTTACTTGTCTATAAATCATCATCGTAATTATTATATTAAATACATATTAATTTATAGAAGATTTCTTAAGTCACTTTTTAACTGACTAGTAATTAAAATTAAATAAATACACATCACCATTTTTAGCTATTTATCTTATCTCTCTCACCTGACTTGAAACACATATTGAGCACATAAAAAATATAATATATTTGAAATTCAAGTAAAACAGTGACAATATTCAAAAAGCTTTAAACAAACTTTGACAAGTCAGACTACAATTATAATTAAATAAATATTATTAAACTTGTCTTATATTACAAACGTTTCATCAAAAACTTTGCAAAAATAATAGCATTACTTTATAACTAGATATTTTGGAATAGAAGTAACTTATAATCAAATTTCTCAAAATTATTATTGGTCTAAAATGTATCAAAATATTAAAAATTATATCAATACTTGTGATATTTGTCAATGAAAAAGCAAAATAAAAAAGAATAATCCATTAAACCAGATTATTATTTGAAAAAATTGGAATTGACTTAATTAAATCTTTACCACTCACCAAGAACAATATATAATAATCATTATTAATTATGAAATCAAATGAACAGAAGCAAGAGCAATGCCAGATATCACTATCACAATTATATTACTGTTGTAATATGAATTTTAGTATATTACATGACTTTTTAAAGTTTATTTTTATTGAATAATTAATTTTAAATTATATCTATATTTATTTTATATTATCTGAATTTTACTCATACTATTTTTATTATATTTTATTTTAATTTTATTATATTTCATACTATTTTATTCTATTTTATTCTATTTCATACTATTTCATTCTATTTTTATATTATCTTATTCTATATTATTTATAATTTATACTAATCATATTTAATTTATATTATTATTATTAGTATGAAAAACATGTGTTAATTGATCTACATGATCAAATTTGATTGATATTAATAGTAAAATTTATGTAATATTAGAGTGAGTGATGCACAACCATCAAGCGAGTGCTTTTTGTAATCTTAATATTAATTAAAAGTAGCTTTAATATTTGAAAATCAAGTAATAATAACTTGTATAAATATAACATGTATCTTAGCTTAAAAAAATAATCTTCATATAGATTATAATCTTTTTATAGATTTTAATCTTCTTACCTTTTAATTTTCTTTAACAAAATTTCCTTAGAAGTGAGTTATATTATAAGTCTTGAATTGGAGATTTTTAATCAATCATTAATTATTTTTTTTCTTTCTTATTTGTATTTTTTATTATTTAAAAGATCTCTCATCTGTAACAAGTGATATCATCTATAATAACATAATTAACCTCTCGTTACTACTCTACGAAATTGATTAATATTATTTAGATTTATAATAAAAGAAAAAAATAATTTTATTAAAAGTTAATCAATAAAAAAAGATTATTTAACAATTAAATCATTTGAATTAAAAGAAGATTTCTGAACTCATTCTAGCAATTCAACAAAATGAACATGTCATTATCTATCTTTATTAAATTAGTTTCTCCCAATCTTAATTACTTTAAACATATAAAAATCTTTAATAACTCTCCTATTTAATTGAAATACATGAAGAATATCTAAAAGATAATAAACCAACGGAAATGGTAACAGTATCATTTTTATATGAAAATATTATTTGTTGATATGATTTTCCAAAAGAAATTATTTCAGATCAAGATACTATATTTGCAAATAAAATAATTAAAATATTATGCCAAAATTATCAAATCAAATATCATCTCTCAGTACTACATCATTTACAAACAAATTGACTTGTAGAAAGATTTAATAAAACACTATGTGAATCTATTATCAAATTTGTTCAATTATATTATAATGAATGGAATTTTTACTTACCATTAATACTATTTGCATATAGAATAATGCAACAAAGTTCACATCATTTTATAACAAGATTATATATAAAATCATCTTTCAAGACAGATTTAAGCATTGGTTTTCTTGTAATATTCACATTTCTTGCATTTTTCATATCTTGTGTCAGATTTGTTTTTCTGGGTTGATCAAAAATTTGTACTCCTATTGGATGGATTACACGTGTTCACCAGGCTTCAAACCTGGAAATGGCACTTGGCGACTCTGTGAAGTCCGGGATGTGATGTGAGGAAAAATTCTCTGGTTGTTTGGCAAAATTGGACTGCGTCAAAAGAATTTAGAACGGTAACAACATGCAAATGAATTGACTGTTACATAACCACGTGGACAGGAGCTCAAAAAATCACGTTCAAATTATAATTGCTTTTACCATTCTTAAAAAATCACATAATTATATATGTTGAAAAGTAATACGGCGCTGTATACATCGGATTCGGCTTATACCGTATTGATATCCCGATTTTTAACTATTTAAAAACTCCCTATATACCGGCCCAAAAGTGCCAATCCAATGCGGCCGTTGTAAAGGACCTTGACTGAAATTATACTTTTATAATAAAGAGGATGTGCATATATAAATATTTTTTTAGAAGTTTAATATTAATACTTCAAGCATAGGTGTGATTATTAAGAGGTTTTCATAATTCTGTATCACAAACTGACAAATGTTAAGAGCAATTGTGTGGATGCTACATCGTGATTTTATGTTTTAAGACGTGTTTGGTACGCGTTTTTGTTACTCAAATTGAACATAAAGTTGACTTTTGGCCAATATTAAGTTTGAGCGTTATCACATAGTTCCATGTGTATCATATGTGGCGTGAGAACTAAATAATAATTACAAGGGTCGTAGTTTATAATCATTTCATCTTATGCATGCTTATGCGTAATCACTTTAGAACGACTACCACAAAAACAACAAAATCACCCATAATCCAACTCCTCCCTTTTTCCTTGTCCTGAAAATAATTACGAGTTCATTTTGACAATGGCGAAAGGGCGAAAGCAATCCACAAAAAATCGATCGGATACTCAAGAAACTAATGCCTCTTTGTAAGGATTTTTCTATTAATTAAACATGTCTTACAACAAGAAGAAAAAACTTTTTTCTGAATAAACAAAGAATGGCTCGTTGGCGCGGAACAAGCACTAAAGACGTCAAACGCACGATTCAACAAGAGGAACTTGAATTAGGTTTTATTCGAAAACCTCGTGGAAAATAATTATCACAGAATAAGTTGTGACCTATAGCAATTTAGATCTACCACCGACTACTTTCGAATGTCAACATTAGCGTATTAGCATCTAACAGAAATGATTAGTCATTTGACCCTACTATAAAAAAAGTCTTTAATTTTTTATAAGCTTACTAACGCATTCATTTTAACTAATATTCAGCTCCAGAAGTGACTGGAGAAAGGCTGGAATGACTCGAGAACAACACAAATATTGCGCAAATATCATCAAGTCTTTAAAACAATACAAACACGTTGGGCCTTTTCTTGATCCAGTTGACCCAATCAAACTTAATGTACCTGACTATTTTGACATCATCAAGACTCCTATGGACCTCGGCACTGTTGAAAGGCGATTAAATAATTGCGAGTACGAAAGCACGATGGATTTTGCTGCTGATGTTCGTACGATTTTCAACAATTGCTATGTCTATAATGGAGAACACGCGACAATATCTCAATTTGCTAAAGATATGGAAGAAATATTTAACACAGCGTTTGCCAAGATGCCCGGAGAGGTATTTCTTCCTTTTGCGTAATAAACCTGAGAACCTGGTAAAAATCGATCATATTTTTCGATATTTAATTCTCGTACGTGTACATAATCTTTAGTCTGTTTCCGGTAATCCTGCACAAACACCCGCTGTTCCTAAAACTCCAAAGACGCCAAAAATTGTCGCAGAAAGTTTAACGCCAAAGACAACTGAACAAAAAAGACCTAAACGTGAAATTCGACCTCCTCCATCCAAAGATCTCCCAGATACTCACGCTGCGAAACGGAGAAAACCATCTAAAAAGAATAATGATCTCAATTTTTGTCGCAGTGTTCTTAAAGAATTGAGAAAGAAACAACATTATCCTTATGCATATCCATTTTATGAACCGGTTGATGCCGAGAAATTACAAGTTCCTGATTATTATACTGTTATCAAACAACCCAGGGATCTTCAAACTATTGGAAATAAACTGGAGAATGATCAGTATGAAAATGCAAAGGTTTTCGAGGATGATATTCGTTTGATGTTTCGTAATTGCTACACTTATAATCCTCCTGGAAGCGATGTTTATCGAATGGGTCAACAACTTGAAGCTGTGTTTGATAAGAAATGGAGAGAGAAACCTATTCCACAACAAAGGGCTCCGTCTGTTGAAAATCAAGCAGAAGAAATGTCAGAATCCGGTAATTATTGCGAGCATGTTTTAATTGTAATCATAAAATGTATTAGTGACTAATTGTATAATTCTTAAATAACCAGAGCAAGAGGATGAATCACAACAGCATCTTAAAGCATTGCAAAAACATCTTGCTGCGCTTCAAACACAAATTGCTTCAATGCAAAAACCATCGAAAACCAAACCAAAGAAGACCTCTTCAAAAACTCCCAAGACGCCTACTCGTAAGAACAGCACTAAATCTGTCAAGGAAACTACAGTTAAGAAGACTGTCAAGAAGCCTCGAGCTCTTAGTGCATCAAAACCTTCCACAGAAGAACAAGTTCCGTTGACACCTGAACAAAAGAATGATTTAAGCGATAGAATCGGCCTTCTTACGGAAGAAGGAATGGCAGATCTTATTGAGCTTATTCGTGAAAGTGGTGCTCCTTTGGAGGTATGCTGTTATTCAATGCAATTCATTGGAATTTTGGTTCGAAGAGAGTATCGTGAAATACAATTGCACGCGATTTCTCGGATTATAGGCTCAAAATGGAAATTATGAACTTGAAATTGAATCTGTCGACGCAAATACTGCACGAAAAATCTACGATTTTGTCTTGAGTCATACAACAAGCCAGAAACCTCCGGCGAAAAAACAACGAATTGTTTATGATGAAGAGGAACAGCAAAGACAAATCGAGAAATTAGAAAGCCAGTTGAAGAAATTCGAAGGGACTTCAGGTAGTTTTGTGAATATATTGAATAATTGACTATTACTTCATGAATTTAGAATTTATTTAAACTTATGCTTATATTAAATTTATACGTGAAATAGCCGAAGCGCATGCTCCTGGTACTGCTCAAACTCAGTATATCGAGTATTCCAATTACGATGCGTCGCCTGATCAATCCAACGAAAGTGAAACCTCAGATTCTTCGGGTACCGAGACGGAAGATTCAGGTAGTAGTGAATCCGAGTAAATTGTAAACAATATATAGCGGGTGGTTCCTTTTTCTCTATCATCATCTATCCCTTTCTTTTTTCGCTTCTTAATGCTGTCATTAAATGACTTTATTATTACGAGTCATTCTTTGAGTTTCTAACGAAATGTAGCTGCATTGATACTTTCAAAATTTCCCTTTATTTTAATTTGCGAGTAAAGATATATTATTTCTTTATTCAAGCAAATGGAATAATTGCTTCATTATTATTTTGTGTAAGAATTGATGGGATAAAGAAAAATAATGCTATAAGCATTATTACACGTTAATAAAAAAAATCCTTTGTAATTCAAAAATATATATATATAGAGATTCTAAAAAATTATATTCTCATCATTTTCTTTTTTTTGTTTTTTTTTGCCTTTTTCCTATTGTATATATAATGCATTCTACCTTGCACCTTGCCCATGCTTTTTTCGATGATAGTTAAGAGGAAGCCTGCCGCGAAAAAAAGAAAAGCCGAGGTATTTTAATTATACAATCCTCGATAATTGAAATTCTCACTAGCAGAAAACTTGAAATTGATAAAATATGCTCTTTCCTATATATAATAATTATATAGTCACAAACTCAAAAGGCTATTCCCGTTCGTAGCAATACAAAGAATCAAAAAGTAGTTCCTACACGAACTAAATCAACTGAGCAAACTACAAATAAAAGTATCTCTGCTGTCAACCGAATCAAAAACGCATTCAATTCAACCCAGAGCGTAAACAGCACGACAATCACCAACCGTATTAATGGATTCCAGCAAACCGCGCATCCTTATCAAAGTAGCAGCAGTGTATCTGAAATCCAGTTGTTGAACAGAAATGAAGTGTCTCCGGAAGAGGAAGAAAGAATCAAATCATTAACTAATTCATTTTTGTTGGATCCTTTAAAGAAAGCTGCTGAAGTAAGTTATTTTTTTATTAGCTCTATTAATTAACTGATTAATTTGACCTTTGATCGTAGGAGCAAAAAGCTAAGCAATTAAAAGAGGTGGAAGAGATGAGAGCGATTGCACGAAAATTGGAACAGGAAGATCGAGAACGTCGAGAAAAAGAGCAACGCGAGGAAAAAGAGAGGCGTGAAAGAGAAGAGCAAGCTGAACTCAAAAGACAAGTTGAATTACGAGAACGTGATCAAAAACGAAAAGAAACATATGAAACGCGTTTAACAGAGGTAACTGTTTTTAGCAATTGTATTGAATTTTATTTAATATGTTAACATATTTTTAAATATTTAGAAAAGGATTGCCGATGCCAAGGACTTTTACTATGAACAACTTCGTGAAGCGCAAGCATTCTATATTGTGAATGAAGGTGATATCCAAAATTTCCACGTTTACAAGACCGGCATCTTTGGATGCACATTGCCACACGATTAGTTCTGTCAATATACAAACGATGCGCAATGTTAATGTAACTAATGTTAAGATGATTGTATAAATATTAATAGTTTAATGAGAAATAATTTTGTAATTAGCTTTTCATGATAAATCTGCTATATAGCAATGTGTTTTTTCCACAAAATTATCCGCTGGCAATGCTAATTTCCAATCTATATGACCTGCACCCAGATAAAAAATTGGTGGTTGGAGAGAAAGTATATTTTTGGAGAGAATAATTGGAATTTGGTTTCTCATTCCTATTGAATAGATTAGCGCTTAATTATCGTAAGTTAAGTCATCCAAGCTTTCGTACAGATTTCACACACACCGATCGGAGACACGCCGCCATTTCCAAAGCCAGTCAATTCAAGTGATTTCTTGTCATAATTAAAAAAATTTTTCTTAGGTGAATTTGATATACTAATAAATATGCGAGATCAACTTTTTTTTTTACCTCGGGAGAAGCCAAACGAAAATTATAATGCTTTTTGCTAATTTTCTTGTCTGAGAGCGCACGAACAAAGTTCATCAATTTCTGGGTGTTAATAGAAGCAATATACTTTTGTGTCCATTTTTTAAAAATAAAATTATAAAGAGTTGAACGTTTGATTTTAGGATTTTATTGATCACAAAGAAAAAAACGACAATTAACCTGAACTATGACGCAGTAGTATTTTGAATTGTTTGGATCTAAATTTCATATTTGAAACAAAATGCAAAAATGGTAAATAATATTGATTCATTAAAAGACTACTCCTTACTAACCATCAATACTATCATGGGTAGAATGAGTATTCTCGAAGATGACGCTCTTGCACAAATGTTTTCTTGATGGTGCAAGGAGTCGAAATCTATTACGCCATTATTTAAGACAATCAATGATATACATAAAAAACCAAAAAATGACTATGAAAACCGAAAATGTACGCGCGTCTCTGAAGCTCCCATTCATAATAATCTGATTCAACTTGATAAAAGCGCGTGACGCTACGGATCTCTAATTCTTTACACGCTTGTTCCACCTGTTTTTCACAAGTATTAAATATCGGAAAAATTCATATATTCTTGCAAACCATACTTTCAACACACATGTTTAACAGGCTCCGGTGCTTCTTGGACGAGCACATTATTTTTTGCTTTTTGTTTAAAATAATCAAGATAATAAAGTGCTAATTTGGGAGAAGCGTATAAATTAGATATTGTATCTATTAGTTCTTCTATTGCTCTTTCTTCAAACATTTTGTTTATAAATATCGACAATAACATTGATATCGATATTAATTCAGTTTTGATCCCATGATGTCATCAAATTCGCGAGTTTTAGTCTCTTGTTTCAGTGTTATTGTAGTCTTGTTTCAACATGCCATCGCCTCACCTTTATCACCCTTCACTTGAACCAAGATCTGTAGTCTACTCTTGGTACCGTAAAGTAATTGCAAGCGAAGTTGACGATTTAGATCAAGAAGAAGCTGATTATGAAGCATCGGTTTGTTTCCTTTTTTGAAGGAAAATGTAAACTTTTCTTTTACTAATTGAGTAATAATGAAAAATTTACAGCTATTTGCAATCAAAAATAACAATAAAAGATGCGCAGTTCCTGGTTTAATTAAACTAAAAAATCGAAATGAGGATTCGGTAATAATGAAATATGTCGTGTTTTCTTTTGAACTTGTTGACACTGAGTATCTTTGGTCACATATTAGGATGAGGATGGCAATTATTTAGACGACATTACAGATGACGATGATGATGATGACATTGATAATGAGGACGAAGAAGACGATGAGGATGACGACGATAATATACCAGAAGTAGAAGGTGAAGACGATGATGACGATGATGAGGATGAAGCAGATGAGATGGATGATGAGGAAGATGAAGAAGACTTACGTGGTAATAATAACAGCAATAATAATAATAACAATCATAATAATAATAGTAATAATAGTAGTAGTAACAATCAAGAGCAACCACAGAATCTTAATCGTGATTTAGACGACGAGGGGCCAATGTTTTCGGATGACGATGATGATACACAGCATCATCACCATCATAATCCTGATGACAGTATTATGCTTGATATGCTTGATCATTCAGATTTAATATCCATGAATGATATGGATTTATCTGAGCACGCAGTGTTTCTTGCTATGGGTGCTGAACAATATACAAGTAATCATAATCTTGAAGACGACTTCTAATTGAGCATGCAATACGAAGAAAAATAGAGATATTGATCGATTAATTATCATGATAATTTTATTATTGAACAAAATTCAATCGATTTAATTATCTTGATCAATCTTTTGCTATATTTGGATGAATCTTGTTGTTTCATCTTTCCTCAGTCTTGTAAGTAGAAATAATAAATATAAACTATTTATCGTTCTAGATAAATGCCAATTCCTTTTAATTTATTACTTTTTTATTTTATTTGTAATATTTATTCCCATATACCTAAATATGTTAATCATCGGACCAACCATTTTGTCAGCAGTCCAAGGTGTTAACCATACACAAGCCGCAATTCGTACGGGCAATAATACCTGAAATCAGAGATTAATTTTATGTAAAGAAATAAACATTAACCAAAAAAAAAAAAAGAGGTTAAATACCTTTACAACTGCATAGCTAGTAGCACCATTAATCGCCATACGTGTTCCGTTCTCGAACCCCTGCCATCCATAATAATTTGCCACCTTATTAATAAACTGATTTCCATCTTGTATTATTTTCTCTGGCAATGGAATACTCAGTCCTGTTCGATCCAGAAACAAATATACCAGGGGTATAGGCAGAATCGCTGTAATCTCGTGTAAGATCGCAAATGAAATAATGTAAGATGCGGGTTTTGATTTGAATTGATCTATGTATTTTCTCCAGCCTTTTTTTATTAATGGCGATGTCGATTTATTGTCAGTTTGTGACGACGATGGAGTGGAATGAGATGATGAGGAAAATGTAGTTTTCCTTTTGTATTTGCATATCGAAGATGAGTAATCGAGATTATTGATGCTGCTTAAAGTGTAACGATGATGATATGGCAATAGTGATTTATTTCCGCGAGATAATTCAATTTTTATTTTTTGAAATTTCAACAGTTTTAACATTATTACTATTTGCAATTTCGGTGTGTCAAACTGGTTATTTGTATCCCAAAGCCACTAAATCTGAACCCCGCTTCTCTAAATCGGTTGGAATTGAAAGCTCGAATAAATTTACAATTAAAATTTTATATCAATTACTGTGAAAACCAATCTCTGTTTTCATTGGATAACATAGACTAACATTACCATATACGTATAGTTGGCTACCTTGTAAACTTTTTACTTATAAACCAACTTTTGATGGTTGCAAGTTGCAACTGAGACATGAAAACTCTTTCTTTATTATTTATTTTTTATTTATTTAATATTGTTTTTGTATTAATATAAAGATTCCTGATTAAATTAGTGTTTTATCGTAATTACTCTAAATTCTCATATTCGACTTTCTCGCAAAAAATTATTTACTTTCGAAACCAAAAAAAAATATATTTAAATGCTAACAAAAAGTCTTTCAATTAATAAATTAATCATGCATGTTCATTCGAGAGTGAATCCGCCGCCACCATTGCCACCATCATCATCAACACCACCATCTCCCAACTGAATAACTGGAGGCAAATCTGAATCAAGTTCCGGAGTTTTTTTAGGTTGATACGTGGCACGAATATACGCGCCATACGTTTCTGGCTTGAAGTTGCGTGAGAGAATTATGAGTGCTTGAGAAGGTGAAAGAGAGTCTACTTGGTCTTTGGTGTATTCCAGTTCGTAGAGTTTCTGACGTGATGTGGAAGTTATCTGGAAATTAAAGTAATAATTAAATATTAAATTCTGAAGAAATGAACTGATCTTTTAATATGAAACAAAACATACCATGAAGGGAATAGAGGCGGAGTTTGTTGAAGGTGGAAACCCAGCACTCACGGTTGTCGGCGAGAAAGGTGCATTAGATATAGTACGGGATTGTGTAGTGGATGAGGAGGAGGTGGTGGTGGTGGTGGTTTTTAAAGTTTGTTGTGGTCGTAATCTCAATAATAGTAATCGAGAATTTGTAATGTTTTTACGAAGAAACCGAGACATTTTGTCTAAAAAAATATACTAACGCTAAAGAAGAGCTAATGGAATATCATTTACATATGTACTTGCATGACGCAATTATGCATATTCAGTTAGGTCTGATTTATTGAATCAAATACTATTTGATGGTAATCGATTAAATTTTCCTAACACTAATAAGAAAATGAAGAGAATCAATTATCGAACATGTTGTAGAAAATACTTGATTGTTATTCTTTATTTGTTATTTCCAATTCCTTCGCCATTACTACCAACATCTGGTGGCAGTAGTAGTTTTGTGTATTCTCTACAATGGTATCATCGTATTTCATCATATTTTACGAAAGAGCAACAACAGCCACAACAGCAAAAGTTGCCTTATGATGAGTATGACGATCGCGATTATGGTGGCGGTGATGGTGGCGCTGAGGTTAAGTTTCCGAGTCTAGAACTTGGTAATAATGAGGCTTTTCTTCGATTCATGCTAATTTTGACCGAAATTTATGCTAATTTGACTGAAACTAAAGAAATTATTTGTCTTATTGGTAAAATAAAGATTGGTCGGAGAATCTGTTAAAGTTGTCTGAAGAGGAAAGAATGGTGATTGAACATGGATTTGGTAACAATCAATTTTTATCGTTATTATACGCAGATTAATTATACTGTATTATTGATTTGTTGAATTTGACATTCGTGTCGTGACAAAGGTTCGTTGGCGCAGTACGAAAAACGTAAAGAAGATTGTTTTAAAAGCGCGGCACGTGAATTGAAAAATGGGTGCAAGGATATTGACCTAAATGAAGAGAATAAGATTAAATGTAGTTTTTTAATTCCCTCACTTTGTTACTTGTTTGCTTTGTATTTGGAATTAAAATTTTAATCATCTTAGATGCGGTTCGATTGACACAATGCGAAATCGCGACTGCCAATCTTGCTGTTCCTATGGAATGTCAGACTAACATTAACAAATACAATTACGAAAACGACAACAATAATAAAAAGATTGGAAAATGTGTAGAGTAGGTGAATTCTGTTATCAGTCTTAATATGTTTCTTTATTTATCATTCTTATTGTTATTAGGTCATTATCACGAATACCGCAATTATGGACTTCGTATTCCGGGTATTTTCGTGAAGTGTGTAAGTTATTGTATTCATTTTGTTTGTATAATTAATTATAGTCATGCTAACATTTCTTTTTTATTACCATAGTTAACATGTGCTTTGCTGTCCGATATTCAATCGAACGAGGTGAATTTAATTGAATTAGTTTACTTTTACCTAATTTCCAGAAAAACAGACTAACACAAATAATGATAACAATGAACAGAGCAACTGGAACAACTTCACAACAACATTACACTAAGCCAACTCGCCAACTTCGATCTTCTTCGTCTGCAACAACGTGAGCTGATTCGATGGCGAAAAGAAGAAATGCAAAAATTGGCGAACTTAGAAAAAACGCAGCATCGAATCGTTGTTTCTGTTCGTGAAATCGAGGTTTGTTTTTTTTATTGTATTATTAAATCGTAATCACTGGACATCCAATGTTTTTGAACTTTCAAAAAATTAAAGAGCAGCACAGGATTCGTCACAAACACGATGTCAGAACTCAAAGAAAACTTGACAGAAGCACACCTTACTGCCGAACACATTCATATAAAACAACAAGAAACAATTGGTAAATTGAGTGACGTGGCAGATATCACTGCTGAAATTTACGATAGTGCGCGAAAACGAATTTTAGGTGTTTCTGAAGTACGTTACGTATCGTGAATTGAGTAAATTAATGAATTAGTTAATTATAACAAAATGATTAAATTATAATACAGTCTCTTGATGCTTTTCAAGCGAGTTTTCAAGGGGTGGAAAGTAATGCGGAGAATTTAAGAGAACTCCAAGAGACTACACAACAAATGTTGTCTCATATTAAAGTGAAGTACCATTTAGCCTTTTCCTTTCCTTTTCTTTCTAAAAACCTGAAACTACTTTTTTTTTAAAGAAAATTACAAAGGAATCCGCGAACCAGACGACTGAGAATTTGATGACGCTCTCAGTGGTAAAATTTTTAATACCTAAAATTCACGGCTCATTATCTATTTACTAACATCTATTATAGGAATTAGAAAATTTTCAAGAGACCACCAAAAAAGCATACGAAGAAATTGTAAATACTGGAATGCAATATTCAGGAACTTTGCAAAGAATCACGGTATATATGTAATTATAATTTTTTTCTTTTTGTTTATCTGTTTTTTGACTCGTGGCATTTCTTCAGGAAAGTACAGAAAACAAGTTACAACAAAGTCTTGGTAAACTTCAGGAATCTCTTCGAGTGAGTAAAAGGATAAACATAAAAAAATTAGCAACGAAGAGTAAAAACAAAAGCATATTAATAAAGTTGTGTGTGTGTGTGTTATAATTATATTATGAAAAAGGGTCTTGAACTACTTTATATAGGAATCACCAAGATTGCTGCTGTCCAGCAAGAGCTTTATAATGACCTTTTAGAACAAAAGGTATTTTTATTTTCATTTCTTTGTATTGCAATGTTGTTATAGCATATCATAATATATATTATTAAAAACACGCACAGAAAGCACGTCAAACATTAGAAAAAGAATGGCATGACTTACTCAACGAAGTCAAAGAGAACTTTTACATGTTACTACAAATCTCGCAGTCTGAAATTCGGTTATTAACCGAGACAACAGCTGACGCTCGCGAGAGTCATCAAGATATTATTAAACTTGTGAGACCGCTGTCACGGGTCATTGATTTATTTGGGTTTTTGTCAGCTGAAATTTCAAGTCATGGTATAATTCATGGAACCATGATCGCTCTATTGTCCACCATCATGTTACGAAGAATCGCGTCTTGGATTAATTTTGATTATTTTTGGATGCCAATTTTTGGTTTTTACTGTTCATTATTCTGATTTCCTTTTCTTTCTTGATATTCTTAATAATTTGTTTTTTTATTGGAATGATATTAGTAAATTTTTCAAATTTTGGATGTTTATTTATATTTGGCAAAATTCTTGGATGGGAGCATTCCTTGCAGATTTGCATAATGGTAAACCATTTATTTACGTTTTTCATTTACTATTTTTTGTTTTTTGTTTTTCATTTCCATAAACTCCAGACAACAATTACAATCATTTCGCTATTACTCGTGAGCGCGTTAATAAAGATGACTACGCGACTACGACGACGACAACATGATCTTGTATTTGTCGGAAATAGTGATGGTAGTAGAAATAACTCTTTGTTGTCATCGTCGTCGTGGATTTATCAAGAGAGTTTACGACCAAGGTAAATTAAAATGGCATTTTGACAATAAAGATAACAATTATGATAGTGAGATAATTGACGTTTTCGTCGTAGTCACTATCGACAAATTGAACAAGTGCCAGTAACATCAACAGGAATAATAACAAAACGTCGTCCTCGTCGACAATTGGGTGATGCTTATTTCGCAAATTCCTTGATTTTTGGAAAAGTTAACGGAGCAAATAAGTCGGGAACTAAGAAATAAGTTCGCCGAAATATTTATAGAATTTATATCAAAATATATGTAAAAGAAAATATGAGGCATATGATTAATACTTTAGCTAGCTTCAAAATGGTGTTTACACGAACTGAACCAAGCTAAATTTTTGGTTGAATTCGAGTCTGGTTCAATTTAAATTCAAATTGAACTTTGGAACACTACTTCTTGTTTTTCCACAACCATGATAATTTTTATATTAGTATAATTTTGCCTTTACTAAAAGAATAAAAAAGGATAATTCAAATATACATATATCTGATACCGAAAATGAATGCGAACTTGATAACAACAAACATTTCAATTATATAAATATTTTGATTGTTCCAAAAGAAATTGTCTTAAGAAAGACCGCATGAATTTGTATATTTCTGTGGTTTGAATATGATTTTGTATTAGAATAGCATGCTTTTCATGAAATAATGCATGAAATTAGTAGAAAATATAATACAAATTCTGAAGATTGTTTTATTTTTTTAATCTTTATATAATAGTAAATCTATAAATTCTATATATACAAGTTTATTTATACTCGAATGGATAATTATAATAATTTAAAAATTAATTTAATATACATATATTCAGTTGAAAATAAAAGAAATAAAATTTAAGTAATTATGTATTATTTATGTTTGAAAATTCCTACTAGTATTAATAAAAAATATATAAAACTAATTGAAATAAAACCAATTGCATAAATTAACATAGCGTTCTTATTGATTTTTTTGTATTTTTTGTCTTTGTCTTCTTTGTCTTTGTTATTTTCTTTACACTGATTCAGATAAATGGAAATTGCAGTATTGGTTTGATCACAATTATTATTCCAATGTTCAACAATTCTAGTAAGAGAAAATTCCTATTAATATTAATATAATATATATAGAAAACCAATTAAATAAAATCAATTGCATAAACTAACATGATGTTCTTATGAACTTTTTGATTTTCTTTGTCGTCTTTGTCGTCTTTATCTTCTTTGTCTTCTTTGTTTTTTTCTTTATACCAATTCAGATAAAAGGAAATTGCGGTATTGAGTTGATCGTAATCATCATTCCAATGTTCAACCATTCTAGTAAGAGATATAATGCAAATTCCGAAGGCTGCTTTCGTAAAATAAAAGCTAGTGCTAAGCAAGTAGCCTGATGCAAAAGCTGGATAAATGACTAGTATAACAATCGTAAAGTAATTCAATCTACCTAATTTTTTCCATTCATACCAGTAAGCAAATAAAAATAAACAATTTAAAATATGACATAAAAATGTAACACCCATATTTACTATTCTTAAGGTGTTGCATTTCTCTCGGAAATTTTCAGTGCAAAAATCGCTCATGTAATTGAAATCTAAAGTATTTGCATCACCGGTAATGAGTCCACCATATCCGGAAAATGATGAAATGCTAAGAAAAAAGGTAAAATTAAAAATGCCTTTTTCATTACGGCCTATTAATAAAGGGTATGACATTAATACAATACTTAGTTCAAGAATAAAAAATATAAAGGTAAGATATTTTTTAAGTGTGGTATAATATGGATACCATTGAATTATACAAAGGGCAGGAAGTAAAAAGATAGAGAAAAATATAGTGGTGTCATCAAATATATTTATGAAGCTGTAGCGTCGACTTTTACTTTTTTCAAAGCCTTTAAAGAGGACCACCAAAAATAATGGAAATAATCCATTTAGAACTGCGTCAAAAGAATCTTGTGTTGAATCATATTTATCTTGTGCTGAATTATTTGTATCTTGTGCTGAATCAACTTGTAAAATTAACGTATAAAACATTGTGTGTGAACTGTGAAGGGAGGGAAACGGTGCAAGAGATTTTTATATTCTTTATTTTTCTATTCGAAATTAAACAATCTCGCTTGTGAATGTGTCCGAACTATTTACTAATATAAAATGTGTAAATCTAATTAAAATAAAACCAATTGCATGGGTTTTTTGATTTTCTTTGTCTTCTTTGTCTTCTTTGTTTTCTTTTTGTTTTTGTTTTTTTCTTTATACGGTTCCGGAAATCATAGCTTAACAATAAAATGAATTATTTTTAAAATCTTTCAACGCTTTACAAAAAGGGAATTTAGAAAAATCAAACTAGTAATTTTATTCTTTAAGATAAGCTCGATTAAACTAGATAAAAAGTAATAGGCGTTTAAACTTGGTCACTTTATATGATCGGTCCAAATTTGAAACAAATCACGTGAATATTTATCACATGAACATGATTTTATTGGTTAACATTCATTATAATTCAGGCCGGCATTATGCTAATGCTAAATTATCATAGTGCCAGCCCGAATCATCATAATGTAAATCATGTAATAAATAAAATTGGTTTGCATAATTTCACGTGATTAAAATATCGTTATTTTCTTTGGCACCATATCAAGTATTGATTTAATCGTAATCATCATTCAAATGTGCTCAATAGTACCCTAGCCATGGCGAAAAAGGTCGGATCATGTTATTTGTGTATGTCCGTAAAAATTCTACGGTAATAGCGATAGAGATTATTGATAAAGGTTAATTTAAAGATTAGAACTAGAGCTGGAGTCAAAATTATATGCAAGATATATGTAACATTGTCTTCCCAAGTTAGATTTAGGCTAATCGAAAATTTACGCATTTTATTGGTTTGTGCCCCAGCAGCACGTGATCCGACCATTTTTCGCCATGGTTAAGGTACTTGACGAATACTGAGTCGCTCCCGTTGGGATACCGAAACACTTATCACTTTTTTTCTAGAACAAATTTAAATCTTAAGAAAAAGCATTACGATATCCTTTGCTAACCGGTTTCGCTTTTCTTGAGCAGAACGAAGAAAGTTTCTAAGTTATGGATTGAAAGATGGACTAGCATCAGTGCTCGCAAAACAGATTAATACCAAGAAAGATTCTAGAATCACGTGATTTACATATGACTATTAAGTAGGTGATACAGAGAATTCTTTATTTATTTAGCGATAGGCCTCCTCCACAAAAGTCATTAACCGTAAATACATGACTCAATTTTACGGATTTTATATTTAGTAACAGAATGAGTTCTTCTTGATAAAGACAGAAATTGTACTTTAGTACGGTCATTCAAATTCAAAACATCGCGCTGAGGTTACTATGATTAATTGATATAATTCAACTTAGCTACACATACCGAATGGTATGTTTATGAATAAATTAAATTTTCTCGTACTCAATGTGAATGAACAATTTTGGCAATACAAATAACTTCCACCATGAAATCAAATTCAAAGACTTGTAAGATCAGGTCAATAAAAGAATAAAACGTTGACAGAATTTGCTGTCAGCAAGTCGAGTTCTTAGAAGGTTTTGATTTCACGTGCATATCATTTTAATCTCATTGTGGGTCAAAAATTATTGATGAAGTTTCTTTGGAGCGTTGGGTGTGCGTTTGGTTGAGTTGTATCGAAAAGTGCCGATACCGATATGTTAACTTCGCCGGGCTGACAAATATTAGTTGTATATAAAAACAAACATATTCGTCTTGTGCACTTTTTTTCTGTCATTCCTTTTGAGAACTTTCAATGCTTCATCTTTAGAACAGTGCAGATCTCCTTAAATTCAAATCTTAGTGTGCCTTGATACTTTGAACATACATACATGTGACTATCATGCCACAAGTCACATGTATGCATAAGTGACGGTCCCCCATTTTTGGGTTTGTATTACATGTACAAATAAGGAGAACGTAGTCAATCACGTGATATATATTAAAAAATATTGAGACGTTAGGGTTGGGAAGGAGATAAGATTATATATAAATTGCCTTTCCGACATTTTTTAATTAGTGCTCCAAGATAGATTTAAGCACCCGTTTTCATTGTTTTGTCAAGTTGATTAAAAATTTACGCATCCTCATTGGTTTGTTCTTCGGGCAGATTATCGGATTTAACCGATCCCTATATATCGATGAGATCTTCATTTAAATCATAATAGATACATATCTGTCATCATGACTTCTCATGGTAAAAGTCTCAAACATAAATCTCATGAACGATAATAAAATTCGATTTGTTTATCTGATCCATAATTATTATTCTAGAAGAATCTTCGCATCAAAGACCAATCAAGCATTTCGTAAATGATACCAAAAATGTAATTGTTGGTTTATTTATTTATCCTAAAAATCAAAGATTGTTGTTATTTTTTTGTTGATTTTTTCTATTATTAAAAGATTGTGGTAGAAGCGCTTCGAGGGATTTGTTTGACTTTTCCACATTTGCGATTAATTGAGCAAGAAAAGGGCAAGTGATGATGATGATGTTAATCATATTCAAGATTTATTCGATAATTCATTTCACACACATATAGTGGTATATAGAGCTGATATTGACGAAATCAAAAATAAGCAAGTCACTCTTATATCAGGGGGTAATTATATGAAAACTTATAATTTCATGCCAGCCAGAAAACATTTAATTTCTTAATCCAACATATTCGTGAAACTACAAAAAAGGCGGAGCAGGTCATGAACCTGCACACGCCGGATTCGTAGGACCAAATCTTTTATCAGCCGCCGTCTCAGGCAACATATTCGCATCCCCTTCCACCTCACAAATACTCGCCGCGATCCGACGTGTACAATCGCCACACGGCACTTTACTCATCGTCAAAAATTACACGGGCGACTGTTTGAATTTCGGATTAGCCGCGGAGCGAGCAAAAGCTGAGGGAATCAAAGTGGATGTCATTATTGTGGGAGATGATGTCGGTGTCGGGAAAGAACAGGGTGGCTTGGTCGGAAGGCGTGGCTTAGCGGGAACTGTTTTTGTTCATAAGGTCGCTGGTGCTATTGCTGCTAAAGGGTAATAAATTTACTCAAAAAAAAATTCATCGTAATTTGATATGATAAATATGTGAATTGCAATGATTCTTTAAATAGTGCAACACTTGAAGATACGAAAGCTGCTGCAGAATTAGTTGCACGTAATATTGGGACAATTGGTGTTGCTTTCGATCATTGTATAATTCCCGGATCCCAATCTGCTGCTTTTTTGTCGAAGGATGAAATAGAACTGGGAATGGGTATTTATTCTTTATTATTGCCGATTCTGTTTTCGCATTTTATTTATTTATTAATGATTCCAACGAATTAAAGGACTTCATAATGAGCCTGGCTACAAAAAAATAAGTCTTACACCATCACGGGAATTAGTTCGCACTATGCTTGACACAATACTTGATACAACCGATCCAGATAGATCTTTTCTTGACATTAAACCAAACCGAGATTCAATTGCACTGCTGGTGAACAATCTGGGTGGATTATCTGCCATTGAAGGTGGTGTTGTGGTGAAAGATGCAATTGAATATTTAGGTAATTTAATTTAGACCGTTTGCGTTTTGTATTGATGTTTTAATTATTAATTTTTTCAATTTTTGTGGTATAGAGGAAAAGCAATTCCAAGTAAAGAGAGTTTATCTAGGCCATTTTATGACTTCTTTGAGTATGCCTGGAGTCTCGTTGACTATTCTAAAATTACCGATTGGAGGAGGGGAGAAAGTATTGGAATATCTAGATGAGCCAGTTCAAGTGCCCGGTTGGCAAAATCGTATTGTTGTTGATAGTTCGGGATTACAACAAGATCTTGATGAAAAGGTCTCTAGAAGTAGATTAGCAGGAAACGATAATATTGAACACACAATTGGTGGTAAAGTAAAATCGTCATCGTTTTTTTAGGAGGGAGGCGCGAAAAATTGACACTTCTCTTTCAACGTGTTTATTTGTTTCAAATAGTTGATTCGAGTTCATTCCAAAAGTCTATAGCTCTTGCGTGTCAAGCTGCTATAAAAGCTGAACCGGTAATCACAAAGTATGATATGATAGTGGGCGATGGTGATTGCGGTACGACTTTGAAAAATGGCGCAACTGGTAAGTTCTTAAATACAACAAATAGTTTTGTCGATTTTATTTTGAGCTAATCAAATAAAATAAAAACTAGCAATCCTCGATGCATTCGACGAATACAGAATCAACACAAAAAATGTTCCTGAAGCGATTAGACAAATCAGCGATATTTTGGAGAATAGTATGGGAGGAACTAGCGGAGCGATATATTGGTAAATATTAAGTACATATTATTATTATTTAAAAATCTAATTAATTGATTGATTGATTGTTGATTAATCGATGGATTGATTGATTTTTAAATAGCATTTTCTTGAATGGACTAGCCAATGGGGTTTTGTCCACGGCTGTTAAACACCCTGACAGTCATTCGATATCAATAGATGCAAAATGTTGGGCTGAATCATTGAAAGTGAGTAACAGTAAAGAGTCAAAGTTAATCAATTCTATGCACACACAATGACAAATATTTCTTCTAGATCGCATTAACTTCACTTTCCCTATACACCAAAGCAAAAGTGGGTGACCGGACACTAATGGACACATTAATTCCTTTTATCGAAACTTTTACGACAAACACCACTAATGATACACATCAGGCTTTGAGATCGGCGTTAAATGCTGCACAACAAGGTGCAGAAAATACTAGAACATTGAAAGCCAGATTAGGTCGTGCTTCCTATATTTCTGATGAAAGTATAAAAGAAGCTAATGTTCCGGACCCTGGTGCATGGGGTCTTGTGACTATTTTGAATGGTTTATTAGGGTCACAGATTTGATTGATGCACGTAAAAATTAAAATTCGCAGAATTTTCCTTTTTGGAAAAAATGGAATTCTTTGTTGCGTTGTTTGCAACATTATCATTGGTCGAAACTGTAATGGATGCATTCGAAAATATATTGTATGAGCGACATACATTCCACGCGATGACATGTTAAAAAAATGCTGCTGATTACCCGTTATGAGTACATGTATAACCTTACATATTATTTTGCTATACATGAGAGCTTTATTATACATATACATGTATCTGTACAAATTAAGAGTATAGATTTATATTTGTATATGGATCGGAATGAGGTTTTCCTTCACGTAAAATGGGATTATTTGGTAGCGTGTATTATTGATGTGTATTCGATTATAGTGGTGGTAGTGTATGCAGTGTATTTAGTAACTCTGCAAAGAACACAACCAAAAGCGATCGATTCAGCAAACAAATTTGATATTGACTGTTTAGATTGTAACAGTGCGCTGATAAAAAATGATTTCAATTAAATAAATTAATAAAACGTTCTCCTCTATTTTATCCTTTACGTCGTATTCACCATTATTATACCAGTCCGTCATACAAGCTCAATGCTTGAACGATTGTAGGATCTTGCTTTGATCCTTCTTTGAATTCGTCCATACTTAATTTTCCATCATGATTCTACGCAAACAAAAACATAACGTCAGATTATGTAAAGGAAAATGATATGAACCACCAAATAATACAAAACAATCATATACGTACCGTGTCCATTAAGGCAAATATCTTGCTCACGCGTTTTTCGGGCGTATCCTCGTCAGGAGGCAAGTTAACCATACTGCCCACCATTTTATATATAGCTTCAACAATACGCAGCATTTCCTCTTGTGATATATATCCATCATTGTCAATATCGTAGAGTTGAAATGCCCCTAAATTATAACACAAAATTATATTACAACCACTGAAAAAACGCGAGAACCAACTGATCACAAAAAAGGAAAATTGTCCTACATAGCAAAATACATACATAATAATTTCTCGTCTAATTTGCCTCGAGACGTGACCGATAATGCACATATAAACTCTTTGAATTCAATTTTCCCGTTTTTATTCTCGTCAAACACGTCAAACACGTATTCGGCAAATCGTGACGGGTCCCCGAATGGGAAAAATTGTTTGTATATTTTTTGGAATTCGTTCTTATCTAGTTCTCCACCAGGACAATCTTTTAGAAAACCTTTGTACCTGTTTGGTTGTTGATTTGTTAGTTTGTGGAAATATTAGTTTATATATTCTAGTGCCGAAAGTGTGAAAGCAACATGAATAATTGTCAAAAATAGAGATTACTTGCCATAATTGAAGTTCATTCTTGTCGACTATTTGGTTTGCGCGTAAAACGAGAAATAGACAAAAGGTAAGTATAAGAATGCACGTAATGACTCGTAGAAGTCAAGATGTAATATTTTCGTGATTAACTTTACAGAGACACGTACAATAAGTGCATTTTTGCAACTCTTTGAGTTGCTCTTCGCTTAACTTGCTCTGAGTTTTCCCCATTTAGAATTTGTTATTATGTATATATGAAGAGTATATATAATCAAAATATATAGATGGATATTATATATGATCAATATTTAGATAGAAAGTCTTCGGAAAGTTAGATTAAAAAGTAGAAAAGTGAGTTAACTTTATAGTATAAACGTGTGTATATTTATATGAAAGGTAAAATTTCCAAAGATGTAAAAAATCTAAATAACAATAATAATGATAATAATAAAGTCTGTCTCCTTTTATCAATGTTGCCTTAACCTGAAACTGGCACGCCGGTTCTTTGGAGAAAGGTCATCACGTGGTACACTGCCCATATTTTCTACGCGGAGCTTCTTTCTACAAAATACAGCCTTCATTTTTCTCTTGAGAATTTCTGACATAAATTATCGGGCTATTGACGATGATGATATAATGATGTTTGTTTTTTTTACCTAAACAAAAAAATGATGCAATGAAAAATTCTCGAAAAGATAAATAGTCATTCGTTATTATACATCATCTGTCTCTTGTTCTCTGTAAATATGATTCCATAATCTGGTATTTTATATATTCTCTATCCCATGTATTATTATGAGTATTGTTTTCAATATTTGAACCCCTGTACTATTATGGTTTTTCTGTCCAATGAACAAAGTCTCATTGGACTATATCGATATATATACATATACATATCATATACATATACATATCATAAATATATAGATATATATATATATATATTGGATTTGCCGAAGAACAAGTGGCTGAACTTAAGACCGAGAATGCCAAATTAAAACCTGTTCAGCATTGCTTTCCAATCAAATATTTTTTGGTCATTGGAAGTTTCCAATGACATTTCTGGAAGGTTTATTGGAATTATTGGAAACTTCCACGGATTAAGGTTATCAGACTTGTAAATAAAATTTGAAAATCATCAAATGCAAATGTCAGCAACCCTTTTTTTTATTGGTCAAATTAAAGATCGCAAAAACATGTGATTTAGGTAATAAATCTGTGAAATCTGAAATGGACCAATGACAATCAACTAGTGGCTATATCCTTTTGTATGTTTTCTATTTATCTATTCTTTCGTACAACTTTTCCTACGATTTATTAAAATCCATATGGCGAGCGCTATAGGGTTACCTCAGAACACTCGGATGAAAAGATAAAAAAAGGATGTATATTAACATATACATAATTTAGGATACAATAAGTATCAAGTTCTCTTTTTACATCCATCGATCTTTATCCACGATTACTCTTGCGTCTATCCATGTGTCCTCCTCCTTCTTCTTTATCCCTTTCTCTGTATCTTTTTTTGCTATAATCTCTTTCGCGACGATTTTGTGTTGGATTTCGTGACCTTTTAGGATCATATTTTTCGTCATTTCGCGACGAACTATGATGACTATGATGACGATGATGATGATGTGAATAATGGTGATGTGGTGATCTTGATCTTGACCGTGAATAATGACGGCGATAAACTTTTTCATCATTATTTTTAACACGTGCGTCACTTTGAGAATATTCATCCTTGACACGTGTATCACTTTGGGAATTTTCAAAGCGATTATGATGATGGGAAGAGGGCAAATTTCGACGAGAAGGAGGGGGAGATTGTGAAGTGTGTTTTGTTGAATTCCTGGAATCGAAAGGAGAATTATTCCATCTTGCACCAGAATCGAGAGATGTAGAGGTACCATCATTTTGATGTTGAAATACAGAAGCTCGGGAAGATGAATGATGGAAGCCAGTTGCAGTAACGGCTGTAGTAGTGCTAGTACGACGATCCTGCCCTTGTCTATCATAACTAGTGGTCGATGATGCCTGATACCTTCTCCAGCAATCATCGTATCTCTGTTCGGGAAGAATCTCGGGCATTGCTTGACTCCCAACGACATGCCTACAAGAAAAAAATTAAAAACCAATTTGCAAGACAAAAAAATACCTACAATGTAAATTATGTAAGAGCGAAAACACTACATACAATGGTCTTTTGAACGGTCTATCTCGTGCCCCGAATCGAAGTTGTCCCGATTCTTTTCTGCCCCCGAATCCGCCACCTAGACGTCTCGGAATCCATCCGTCCATTAGGCGACTGCGTTCGTAGTCTACTAGTATTTGGCGATCGTCTATTGTCATTTTGTTTGCATTCTAACATAGTAAATGATAATATTAGATCCGTTATTAGTCCACGGATTAAATTCTGCATTTGAAAAAAAATTATTCACCCTATAAGCATCTTGACTTGATCTTTCGTGTGTGAATTCAATAAATGCGTAACCACGCGAATCGCCAGTCACTTTCAGAAAAAATACACCGAGTTTTACAGTTGTTTTTTATGTATATGAGAATACGCAGAGGTCTGTCAAAATACCTAAATTACGCTCGAGTCGGATTTTCTTGATTGCGCCAAAGTTCTCGAACACTTTTTGTAGAGTTTCTGTAATTGACACAAATATATTTCAAAATTTGAATGTGAAGTTATGAATGTTAAGTATGAGAAAGAAACCTTCTGAAGTATCGGGATTTAATCTCCCTACAAAAAGAGTTTTTAGAGGATCCTCGGTCACATCTGTATTATACGATGGTGAATCTATTACCGACAAAATTTCAAAAAATTCCAATGCCATTACTAAAAGATATAATAATAGAGTGAAATTCAAAGTAAAGCAAGTACAAACATTTTGAATTTTGAGCACGTAGAATGGCGTGATCATGAGGAACCAAGTCTGTTCCGTCGATGCTTCCAGCTAACAAAAAGAATCAAAATCAATTCCAAAACTGTAGAAAACGCAAAGCCCACAAATGAGTACACCTACCTTGAAGAGGGTCATACTTGTAAGCATACCACATCTGTAATAGTGCAGTGACTAGTTTATCCACTTACGAAAATTAAAAATTAACGTCATATTTTATTTATATTAAAACTGACTGATTGTGATGCATAAATAAAAATTTTTTGAATGAATGCGTATCTCCGTTTTACCGAATTGTTTTACCCTTACTAATAAAAACTATTAAAGAATTATGGTTCAAGTCACGAAAATAAAAGAATCTCCTGAAAAGCTTAAAGTTGGGGTATTAGGTATATTACATTTTTTAATTTGTTAGGGCATATAACTAATTTCCCTACACAAATATACCAATTTACACTGAACTTGACTTATTCCACAAATTGTGTAGCACTTCAAGGCGCATTCATCGAACACATACACATTCTTCAGCGGTTTCCGCAGGTCTCTCTAGCGATTCCAATACGAACCGCCGACCAACTCTCGTCAGTTGACGCGCTGATAATACCCGGAGGCGAGTCTACAACGATTGCACTCGTAGCCGAACGATCAGGTTTATTAGAACCGTTACGGGAATTCGTTGAAAGTAAACCTACATGGGGTACATGTGCTGGAATGATTCTGTTAGCGAATGAAGCTACGCAGACTAAACAGGGAGGACAAAAGTTGCTCGGTGGATTGGATATTACAGTTACTAGAAATAAGTTCGGGACTCAGGTAAAATAGCTTTATTTTTAATATTTGTTTTTGAATGTGTATTAAATTTTATAAATTAAAATGAAATAATATTAGATTGACTCGTTTGAGGCTCCTCTTCATATAAACCATGTAACAACAAAATCTGGAAATGACGACGTCTTTCCGGCAGTTTTTATCCGTGCTCCAATCATAAGTCGAATTAATTCACTAGACGTGGAAGTGCTTGCACGGCTTGAGCATACAATTGGCGACACTGATGCTTCGGCTATAGTTGCTGTACGTCAAGGCCACTTATTTGCCACCGCTTTTCATCCTGAGTTGACTAATGACGACCGAATTCATCAGTATTTTGTTAGTTTGGCTTTGGAATCCTTAAGAAAACGATGTAGAATAATACAACAACAGATATAGAACTGATACAATTTTTTATTTATAACGCGCGTCACGTCGCGTTATCTATTTATTATTATTATTAAAGAAGACTTTTCCCGTAGAATAATTTAATGATTTTAATTAATTAATTAATTAATTTAATTTTATAATACTCAAAAATAATATTTTTTTTCGGTCTTCTCGTTGATTATCTTTGATCTTCATTACATAAATATCTATGCTAGAAAATAAAAAATAATGAATTCGGCTAAACAAAATCATAGCACGCCAAAATTAAAGCGTACACTCGCAGCCGATACTTTTACGCAACCGCTTCCAATTACTCTATCAAATAGCCAACTTCCTTCTTCTTTTCTAAGCACTATCTTTGGATATTTTCATAATCTATTATCTTTCAAGTCTGCTACTAATAAAAACTATCCAACAACAATTGCAATTGGGATTTTTGATAAATTTAGTCGTAATGTGATAGTTGAGAATAAAGAACAGGTAGAATTATTGTGGAAGTCTGGATTTTTTGGAAAGGGCACTTTGTCTAGGGGTGATCCAACTTGGTTTTCGAGGAATAGTGGAAAAAATCATCATAGAAAAAATTTGTTCCTTGAGGAAGTCACTAAAAAACGACGTGAAGAAAGAAAAACGCGTCGAACAAAGAGCCAGAAAGAAGGGGCAGCTCAGGAATTAGACAACGATAATGATAATGAAACTATAATAATTGATAATGAATTGAACCATCGTCAAAAAGATATTATTGATAACCCAAAAGAAAAAGATGATGATGATGCAGATGCAAAGTTTCCTCATTCTTTTAATGATATTGAGAAATTTCAATTAACTCTCGAAGAAGCATTTTTTCTTTGTTTTGGAATCGGATCTTTGTTAATCTATGACACTAATCAGGTTTCTTTTTTCTTTTTTGTGAATTTCGTCTTGTCACTTCTTTTTTACTAAATTAATTTTATTTATAGAAATTACTAAGCATAAAAGACTGCTGGGATGCTTTTCGTAACGTAGCTGTTACCCATTATTGTTATCATCAACCAACATCTATGACATCTTTTACCTCATCATTAGTGCAAACTGATATAAATCGATGGGATAATCCATTTGTAATCCGTTACGTGACTTTTCATTATTTTCGTAGCATGGGTTGGGTTGTTAGAGGTGGCGAGAAATTTGGCGTCGATTTCTGTAAGTGTATTTAATATTAATATTCAAATTGAAATATTATCTTTGTGTTAATAGATTAATTAGCACGTATTACGAAAATTTAGTATTGTATGAGAAAGGGCCAATATTTCATCATGGAGAGTAAGTTCTTGTCAATAGTTATTACATATAATTAATTATGAGTAATTATACCGCTTCTTTTTTCTTCAGATATGCTGTTGTTATATTACCGGTCTATTCTAACCCGGATGACGACCCTTTAAAGAAATCAACTGGTGATAGTGCAGCTCAATCTACTCTACTATCATCTACTCTGTTTCATCAAAATCTTGCCTTGTCTTGGCAATGGTTCATGAGTCTAAATCGTATTAGTGCACAAGCCAAAAAGGTGATATTTATTTACAAGATATTCATTTATACAAAAAGATTTATTTAAGTCAAAGATTTTTATTTTACTTAATAGACGATTGTTATATGCTACGTAATAATACCGGACACTAAGGAATATTCAACCACAGAGTTGATGACTTCTCCGGATTGTATCAGATATTATAAAGTGAAGGAAGTTACGATTAAAAGATTCATCCCGGAACAAAGTCTTAACCATCCATAGCGTTCTCCTAATTCCATTCAGCAAAGATTTTTAGGTTATTTTTTTTTCGTAACATGCGAACAAAGGAAATGATCATATGCAAAGAACTACGGCTATACCAACTTTGTGTAAATCTTACATCGTGCCCGAGCATTTTTGATTCTAAACCACCAAGCATATTGGCAACAGTGCATTTCTGAATTGATAGCTTATATATAAAGCATACACTCATAATTCTATGCACAGTTTTGATATTGTACTTCATTAAAATACAATTAAAACGAACCTGAGTTTATTATGTCTGAATTTCTTTGAAACAGAGAATCTTTCTAATAATGGTATTATTTTTATAATTTTCTTTGATAGTACATGTAAGTGCACACTCACTCTAAATGCAGTATTGTACATTTTCTATGTCCCAATCATTTTTGAAATTGTCACGTAATAAAAATAACATACTATAGGAAAGAACAAGCTAATGGACACATCTAATAAAAATTCGTGAAATCAATATTATTTGCAAGGAATTATTATGTCTGATTGCCAACAATGCAAGCTTTTTTGCTCAATTTTCTCCAAATGAGCCATACTTGACTATTTATTAAAGTAAATGATTCGAGTTTTCATATTCAATGATTCAAGTGGATTCTGTCTGTCACTAGCTAAAATAATATTATAAAGTCATTTGCGCGTAAGTGTTCTGAATATTCACGGATTTGTATAGCGATAGTGCAACATAAAAATTAAATGACTTTAATGATGACCTTAATGACTCTGATGACAATGACCAATAACTGGTCATTTAAAAGGTCGAATGGCCTAACTGGTCACTTCAAAAAGTCAAGTGATCTCAATCTACAATCTTCTTTTATCCAATAAAATTCAATTTTGTGACGTCATTATAAAAATGACTCACTGAAACTCTATTGGTTGAAAAATAAATCACATGACAAATAACCTAATGATTAAGAATAGAGTTCATTACGTTACTAATAAATATCTGAATTACATAAAATGAAAATTTTCTAGTAGCACAAAAATATAATAATTTATATTATATAATTAATCAGATAACATTTTATATAAAAAATACTTTTAATAATTTTTTGTATTTGAGAAAAAAGTTGAAAATTGAAATAAAAGATATTAAAAAGTGTTTTTTTTTAAAAAAAAATTTTAATTATTTATAACAAAAAAAAGTGTCATTATTAATATAAATCTTTCAAGTTTATTTATAATTCTTTCAAGTTTATCATTCATTATATAACTTGTATATTGTTCATATCAATATATTATTAATTTATTGAATTTTTCCAGATAATCAAGTTGTTTAGTCAGTTTTTGATTGAATGAATTACAGAAAATATAAAGTAATTACTATTACTAATTCATTTAAAAAATTATTTATATCAATATTATTAAATATATGCATATAAAATTATATATATTAGCAAATTATCTGAATTTATTATTGTTATAATTCAAATATTTTATAATATAGTTATTTTATTAATAATTAATTATTTTAATTTAAATTTAATTATTTTTTAAATCATCAGATTTAGCAAATAAATTTACTTGCTAAAATTTCATAAATTTATATCTAATATATTTTTACCAAAAATTAAAATATATTAAAAAGTTTATTTAATCTTAGCTTTAATTATATATTATATAATAGTTATTTTTATTTTTTTAATAATTATAAAAAAATTATAAGTTAAAAATAAGCAATTTTAAAAAATTTTTATTATTAATCTTAAATTTTAAAAATATATTATATTTTTATTTTAGCTTAGAAAAAAAGAAAAGAAAAGATTTAAGCTTATAAAAATTAGAAGTAAATATATAAAAATAAGCTAAAAAAATTTTAGTAAACAAATTTACTTGCTGAATAATTTAAGGGATATTAATTATTTATACTTTTATTAGACGAATTTAAAATCATATAACTTTTATATATAATATGTAATTTAAATATGTGATTTTTATATATGACTTGTATATATAATTTTATATATAATTTATTATTATAATTTATAATTTATATAATTAGTGTAATTTATATGATTTGTATAATTTACATAATTTATATAAATTTATATTTTTTATAATTTTTTATAATTTCTATAATTTCTATAATTATTATAATTATTGCATAATTACTATAATTACTATAATTATTATAATTATTATAATAATAATTATTATTATTATATCTATTATTAGTAATTATTGATATAATCAATATAATACTTAAGTAATGTAAATTAGATATAAATATAATTATTTTTATAGTTATAAAAAATAAGTTATAACAATTAGTTTAACTAATGACTTAATAAAATTATTTTGAAAACATATTATTTTTGAAAATATATAATTTTGATATTTTTAATATTTTTATTAATAAAATAACTATTATTATAATTTTGATTTTTTTGTGCATTTTTATTATATATATATTAATATTATTTTAATAATATCATACAAATTATATTTAATAAATATTTTTATTATAATATTATTTAATAGTTAATAATTCATATTATAATTAAGTTTAACTATTTTGATATAATACTTATTCATATTTTTATAATTTTATTATATTGTTATGATATGAATATTTAGTTCTTATTTTATTGATTAATTTATATCATAAATTTAATTGGATGATATTTTATTATATTTTATTGGATAGTTATTTTTAGATAGTTGTTATTTTATTGGACAATTATATATTAGATATTATTGATTCTT